CACTCCATATTATGTTTGTGAGAACCTTCTATATTGTTGGGTATACTTTTCATTTTTCCCTCTACTGCTAGACATTTGGATGGTTTGCAGTTTGGGAATATTTAGGAGTAGTACCTCTGGGTTATATGTTTTGGAAAACAGAGGTCTTCGTTTCTTTGGGGTATATACCTAAGAGTACTATTGCTGCTCACAGAGTGAGCATATTTGTATCATTAGTAGATACTGCCAAATGGTTTTGCATAGTGCTGGTGCCAATTTATTCTTTCACCAGAATTATATGAGGCCTCTGTGTTCTACTTTCTCTCCAACACTTTATTTTGTAATCTTTTTTCGAGACTGAGTGTTGCTCTGTCGTCCAGGCTGGAGTGCAGTGATGCGTTCTCGGCTTGCTGCAACCTCCACCTCCTGGGTTCAAGCAATTCTCCTGCCTCAGCCTCCCTAGTAGCTGGGATTACAGGCACCCCTTGTATTTTTAGTAGAGATGGGGTTTCACCATGTTGGCCAGGATGGTCTCAATCTCCTGACCTCAGATGATCCACCTGCCTCGGTGTCCCAAAGTGCTGGGTTTACAGGTGTGAGCCACCGCTCCCGGCCTCGCCCACCCTGTTTCTATGTTCTATTTTCTCCCCCTCTCGGTTTTAAAATGCTGAATTTGTCACAAGGATTCATACATCCTTTGGGTTTATTAAAAAGCTTTTTATAAAAATTTTATATATAGAAAACAACACAAATCATAAGTTTACAGCTCCATGATTTTTCACACATGAAATACATCTATATAACCACTACCCTGAATGAGAAACAATCTTATGAACACTCCAAACACTGTCCCCAAAAAGGTTGATCAGTTTTTCAGAATTCTAGCAGCATAATTTAGTTGTGCCTCTTTTTGCATGTTATATGAATGATAAGCATGTGTTCTTACATGTCTGGTTTTTTTTTCACTCCATATTATGTTTGTGAGAACCTTCTATATTGTTGGGTATACTTTTCATTTTTCCCTCTACTGCTAGACATTTGGATGGTTTGCAGTTTGGGAATATTTAGGAGTAGTACCTCTGGGTTATATGTTTTGGAAAACAGAGGTCTTCGTTTCTTTGGGGTATATACCTAAGAGTACTATTGCTGCTCACAGAGTGAGCATATTTGTATCATTAGTAGATACTGCCAAATGGTTTTGCATAGTGCTGGTGCCAATTTATTCTTTCACCAGAATTATATGAGGCCTCTGTGTTCTACTTTCTCTCCAACACTTTATTTTGTAATCTTTTTTCGAGACTGAGTGTTGCTCTGTCGTCCAGGCTGGAGTGCAGTGATGCGTTCTCGGCTTGCTGCAACCTCCACCTCCTGGGTTCAAGCAATTCTCCTGCCTCAGCCTCCCTAGTAGCTGGGATTACAGGCACCCACCAGCACACCTGGCTAATTTTTGGTTTTTTAGTAGAGACGGGGTTTCACATGTTGGTCAGGCAGGTCTTGAACACCTGACGTCAAGTAATCTGCCCGCTTTGGCCTCCCAAAGTGTTGGGATTATAGCCGTGAGCCACCGCACCCAACCTTTTTAAATCTTTTCAATTTGAGCAGGGTTTTTGGGTGTTAAGTGATATTAAATTGTGGTTTTAATTTTTTATTTCATTGATAGCTATGACATTCAACATCTTTTCCATGGTTTATTGGCCGTGTTTATACTTCCTTGTGAAGTACCTATTCCAGATCGTGCCTGTTCTTCCGTTGAGTTGACCAACTTTTTCTTCATTATTTGTAGAATTTAAAAATTATATTATGGTTGTAACTCACTTGTCATGTGTGGTGTGTATATGTATGTCTTACAAATACGTTCTCCTATTCTGTGGCTCACCTTTTCACTCTTGTGTTTTTTGATAAACAGATATTCTTAATTTTTTCTACACATTCTTTTTCAATATAATTATTTATATATTAATTTATTTTTTTTGAGACGGAATCTCGCCCTGATCGCCCAACAGCTAAGTATGCAGATGGCGCATCTGGGCTCACGTGCAAGGCATCCGCCATCCCAGAGGTTCACCCGCCAATGCATACCTCATTCCTCAGCATCCACGAGTACTGGCGCTCACCACAGCGCCACAAACCACCAAAAAACAACCAAAAACAAACACAACAAAAAAAAACACACCACACAAAAAAAAAGCCGGCTAAATCTTTTGACAATTTTTTAGTAGCGACAGTTATCACCAGGTTATGCCAGCGATGGTCTTGATCTCCTGGCCTCAGTGATCCGACCTGATCAACTCCGCCCCACAAAAGTGCTGGGTTTAGAGGCGTGAGCCACCGTGCCCAGTCAATACTTTTCTTTATGGTTAGTATTTTGTGTCCTGTTTAAGAAATCTTTGCCTATCCTAAAGTCATAAAAGTATTTTTGGCCAGGCGCCGTGGCTCAGACCTGTAATCCCAGCACTGTGGGAGGCTGAGGTAGGCGGCTGAGGTGGGTGGATCACGAGGTCAAGAGATCAAGACCATCCTGGCCAACATGGTGAAACCTCATCTCTACTAAAAATACAAAAATTAGCTGGGCTTGCTGGTGTGCACCTGTAGTCCCAGCTGCTTGGGAGACTGAGGCAAGAGAATGGCTTGAACCCGGGAGGCGAAGGTTGCAGTGAGCCGAGATTGCGCAACTGCACTCCAGCCAGGGCGACAGAGCAAGATTCTGTCTCAAAAAAAAAAATATATATATATATATATATACACATAAATTTTCCTGTGTTTTCTTCTGAAACCTTGTTTTGCCTTTTACTCTTATATCTACTATTCATCTAGAATAGATTTGGTTGTGTGATGTGTGGCAGAAGTCCTGACTTTTAAAAAATACACTTATCCGGTTGACTCAGCACCATTTATTGAAAAGACCTTTATCATAAATGAGATGTATATATGGATCTGTTTCTAGACACAGTATTTTTTATTTATTTATTTTTTGAAATGGAGTTTCGCTCTTGTTGCCCAGGCTGGAGTGCAGTGGCGCGATCTTGGCTCACCACAACCTCTGCCTCCCAGGTTCAAACGATTCTGTTGCCTCAGCCTCCCTAGTACCTGGGATTACAGGCATGCGCCACCATGCCCAGTTAATTTTGTATTTTTAGTAGAGATGGTTTTCTCCATGTTGGTCAGGCTGGTCTTGAACTCCCGACCTCAGGTGATGCACCCACCTCGGCTTCCTAAAGTGCTGGGATTACAGGTGTGAGTCACCATGCCCGACCAGATACAGTATTTTGTTCCACTGGTATATTTGTCTATCGTTGCTCTAATAGTACACTGGCTAAATTTTTGCAGCTTTATAAACTTAATATTAGGTAGTATAAATCCTCCAACCTTGTTCTTCTTAATATTGTTGGCTTGGCTATTCTTGACATGTTATATTTCTATATGAATTTTAGGATCAGCTTATCTACAAAAAAAATTTTAAAAGAGAAAAACATGGTGGGATTGCAGTGAATATATGGAACAATTTAGGGTGAATTGGGTCTTTGTTGAGTTTCCAAGCCATGACATCTTTTTGTGGTTATTCTAATATGAACATCAATTCTTGGTTTTTGTCATTCGGTACTGGATTCACATGCTTTATAGTTTTTCTGGACGCTGGAGATTGTAAATTTGAAAAATTGCATAGGCTGTAGATTATATCAAATTATATATTTTTCCAGGGTTTATTTGTTCTTCTGTTTAGCATTTGAGTGGAGCACAGATAGCCTTAATTGAGTTAGGGTCAAATCTGGATCAAGGCTGTATTACAGTTTGGGTAAGACCTCTCTTTTGCCCTGATTTTAGGGCATATTCTTCCGGGGCTTTCAGTTGAGAGCCTGGTGTGTTCACTTAACCACCACCTCATTGGGTCCTAAAATCTCAAGAATACAAAGCCTTCCACTCTGATTTTCAGAGGTCTTCAGCTTACCTTTCACCTTTCACACCTCCTGATTTTAGAATTCAGCAGATGTCGTGAGGTAAAGCTAGCCATGTGTTTGAAGCCCTTCAGGTCTTCTATTTTTTTTTTCACTCCAAACCCGTTAGATGCTAAGTGATCAGCTGGTTTCTCTGTCGTTTATTTGGGGCCCTCTGTCTGATTCAGACTCAATTTTTTCATCCTTTACTTTTTCCTGGAATCAGCAAATGCCTCCAGGGAAGAAAAGCTATAGTTTACCAGCTCACTTCCTAGCAATTACTCCTTCTCCAGATTCTTGGTTCCATCTGTTCTTGTTGCTTCAGCAGCTCTCTGTCTGATGCCTTTAAACAGATGGTGCTTTTCTTGTATTTCATCAAGATTTTCTTGTTCTTAATGTGAGCATTGATCTCTAACACAGTGTTTCATCTTAACCGGAACTGGAAATTTGCATTATTCTCCACCATTGCTCAAGTTCCTCTAGTGGGGCCTCACAGCTCAACATTAGGGGAAAAAATATTGAGAAAGAATTTAGAGTATTTCAGATTGATTGATCATAAAAAGGAAACAAAATGAGTGATACCTAGGAAAGTTATTTGATTTACAGAAGGTTACACAGCAGAATTATAGCTGCCACTCAGCCATTCCATTAAACCTGGGGTACTGACTATATAAGATGCTTCTGTGTACAGAAGCTAGAGAATCTTTGGTAAGCAACATAGAACTCTAGGATTTAAGCTCTTGTCTGTGATCAACAATATGATGTTGAGTGCTTAGAATCTTGAAGTCTCAGGTTTATTTAAACTGATTATTTAATTGTAGTAGCCTGTTTTTACCTTCTTACCTCCATTTTATTTGTTAACATTTGTTCCTATTCCTTTATGAGGCACCCTTGAATCCCCTATGCAATGTATATAAGATGGTTCATTTTTTCTTTTTAATAACAGTTTAACTTCTAGTAGTTACTATGAATCAGTTTTAGACTCCTAATCTCAGGATTTGTACAAAGTATTATACAAAATTTATAATGTTAACCTTTTGTTGTAATACTTTGTGAATTTCTATAATTAAATTATATTTTCTTTAGTTAAGTATTACACCTTTTAATGAAAATATTTGAATAGAGGTTAATTTTTGTCCCAATATTAAAACAAATATAATCTAGATAATTGACATTAATATATCAAAAACTAATCTGTCTTATAAGATTACTGAGAAAGTAATGAACACTGTCACCTTGATTGTCATGTGATGAACTGCAGGTATTGGTTAGTAATCATCATACATTTTCAGTCTTGATTTGACAAAAGCAATAAAGTATATTTTCTCTCAATATAGGAAAGAATTATTCCATATTTATTACGACTGAGACAAACTAAGGATGAAACTCTTCAGGCTGCAGTTAGAGAAATTTTGGCCCTAATTGGCTACGTGGATCCAGTGAAAGGGAGAGGAATCCGAATTCTCTCAATTGATGGTGGAGGAACAAGGTAAGGCTAGGAACATGATTCTTTTTTCTTTTTTTTTTTGAGATGGAGTTTCCCTCTGTTGACCAGGCTGGAGTGCAGTGGCACAATCTCAGCTCATTGCAACCTCCGCCTCCCAGGTTCAAGTGATTCTCCTGCCTCACCCTCTCAGTTAGCTGTGATTACAGGCTCCCGCCACCACACCCAGCTAATTTTTGTAGTTTTAGTAGAGATGGGGTTTCCCCATTTTGGCCAGGCTGGTCTCGAACTCCTGACGTCAGGTGATCTGCCTGCCTTGGCCTCCCAAAGTGCTAGGATTATAGGCACGAGCCACCACACACAGCTGGAACATGGTTCTTAAAAACTACAGATTCAATTCAGCTTTAGGAATTAAAAAAAATGATTTGATATATCATCATAAAATCAAATTTTTTAAATAAAACATGAAATTGTTTTAATTAATCTAAGTGCTACTCTGACATATACTTCAATTCTTACTTTGCTTTGATTTAGTATTTATATTTTCATAATTTATTTTATTTTATTTTAGTATTTCTATTTTTATATTTGGCCTTTTTAGACCTTTTTGGTAGTGTAGAAGCTTATCAACCATTATTCTCATAAAATCTTGACAGTGTTTTATAATTTTAGCTTTCTTTTATTATTTTATTTTATTTTTTTGGAGATAGAGTCTTGCTCTGTTGCCCAGGCTGGAGTGCAGTGGCGCAATCTCATATCACTGCCACCTCTGCCTCCCAAGTTCAAGCAATTCTCCTGTCTCAGCCTCCCAAGTAGCTGGGATTATAGGTGTCCGCCACCATGCCTGGCTAATTTTTTGTATTGTTAGTAGAGACGTGATTTCACCATGTTGTCTAGGCTGGTCTTGAACTCCTAACCTCAGATAAACCACCTGCCTCAGCCCCCCAAAGTGCTGGGATTATAGGCGTGAGCCACCGCGCCCAGCCAGCTTTCTTTTATTACACTTATCTTACCCATATATATCCACTAGTCACTTGATAAAGTGATGGTTGCAAAATGAGGCTATATTAACTTCCTGACTTCTGATGTCTTCACTTGGAGATGCCAGTTCTGGTGCTATATAAGAAATAAATTCATTCTTTGTTCAGAAGGAGATAATTTCACTATTAAGCTCTATTTTTACTACTGGCAATCCATCCATGCTTCCTACTCAAGTCTTTGTTTATCTAGTTCCTTCCAACTTATTGATTAGATTTTTTGGCTTGGTTTTTCAAACCTTTTCCCCAAAATCTTCTAGCTCATTCTCTAGTTCCCTGCCATCCCTACTGCTACCTCATAATTCATAGTACATGCCCTGCCTATTGTTCTTAGCTTTAACTTACCTCCCTGATTTTGCTTTTTGGTATACCCAACTTGCCAACCACTCTTCTGTATGTTCAAGTACTACCCTGTATCTTTTTGTTAAATTCCTTGGTTCTCTATTCACCCGAGTCCTTTATACTTTAACATCAATATGAAGGAAGGAGTAAATAATGAGAGAAGGAAGCTAACCTCAGATGGTGGCAGTGGAAGGCAGGAGGAAGGAAAAACATACCAGTAACTTTTTTTGAGATGGAGTTTTGCTCTTGTTGCCCAGGCTGGAGTGCAGTGACATGATCTTGGCTCACTGCAACCTCCACCTCCCAGGTTCAAGTGATCAGTTCCCCTGCTGCAGCCTCCCAAGTAGCTGGGATTATAGGCATGCACTACCACACCCGGCTACTTTTGTATTTTTAGTAGAGACGGGGTTTCACCATGTTGGCAATTCTGGTCTCAAGCTCCTGACCTCAGGTAATCCACCCACCTCAGCCTCACAAAGTGCTGGGATTACAGGTATAAGCTACCACGCCCAGCCAATACCAGTAACTTTTAAGAAACATGGAGACAGGATATGGTAGACATAGGTCAAGATCACTCTAAGTGTAAACCTGTGTGTGACTGGGACAGAATTGCAGGGAATCTCAACAGATTGGTGTTGAGGAAAGACACTTTTTTCTTGAACATATTTAATGTAAGATTATATCCATACAGAAGTGCTCAGTTGTCAAAAGCCCACTGAAGAGAGAACAATCTTAAAAGATCTTAGAGGATGTTTCTTAAGAAAGTGAATAATGTTAAGAAGGGATTATAGTGATATACAGTGATAACTGGAGAGATTATTCTAGTTCATAGAATTGGTTCCAAATGGTGAGAAATAAGGAAAATGGCAGTTAAATGAGTAGAAGCATTTCACTAAGGAGCAGAAGGAATCCTCTCTGCCATTAAGTTCAGGGGAATTGCGACAGGTAGTGTCATTCATTGAGTCAGCTAACAGACATTGGGTGCCTACTATGTTGTAAGCCCTGATTTAGATCCTGGGGACGGTGAGCAAACAAAACAATACAGTGTTTGCATTGTAGAGGAGGAAAAAGACAACAAATAGAAAAACAAAAATATGTTATTCTGGGTGCTATGGAGAAAAATAAAGCAAAGTAAAGGGATAGAGAGGAAGAGTACTATTTTAAAGAATGCTCAGGACCAAGACTTCTTTTTAAAGAAGTTATATTTATGTAGAGATAGGAAGGAAGAAAATTAAAGAACATTCAGATGTCTGTTTAAGGTCAGACAAGCATGATGAAAAAGAAGTTTGTATCCAATAAATAGTTTATCTTGTAGAATAAGAGTTGTATTAGTCATATAAGGGGGAAATCAGTGTGAGGTAATTTGGGAAAATCTGGGGGTGGGTTAGGATGAAGTTAGGTTTAGATTTGTAATTCTCCACTGGAGGTGATTTTGCCCCCTAAAGGACATTTGGCAGTATCTGGAGACATTTTTGGTTGTCATAACTAGGGCACTGCCACTTTCATCTAGTTTGAAGAGGACAGTTGTGACTAAACATGATACAGTGCACAGGACAGCCCCGCAAAACAAAGGTTATGCAACCCAGAATGTCAGCAGTGCTGCTGTTGAGAAAACTTGGTTTAGGGGAATATGGGAAAGCAGCCTGAATGGGAGGTTTGTGTGAAAAGCAGTAATGTATGAGGGCTTGAGAGAAAAAATAAAAAACCCTATCTTTTACTTCTTTGGTATAAGAGAACCTACAGTGGTAGGCATAGACAGCTGTGGCAACTTGGCAAATATATATGTATTTACATTCATTCAGAATTTATGAACACAACATTTTAAATAGTTAATTTTCCCAATTATACGAGTAGTTAGAAAAACCTGAGAGAGAAAAAAATCCCTAAAACCATAGCTCACAACTCTTAAGATTATTTTAGTATTTTGATTAATTTTCTTCTAATATTTTTCTTTGTGAACATATATGTGCCTATTTTATTTCCTTTTTGTGATAATAGAGGTCATTGTTAAATATATTGTATCCATTACATTTAATTCATCATCTTGCCTTGAATTAATAATGTATCTCTTTCATAAGACATCTTCTTAACTCTCCTCAAATCCACATAATTTGTTGTATTTAAAAGATCAGCATCTTTGGTTTTCTACTTTAATCTTACAGAATTTTCTAGTTACTTCCTGTTAACATTATCAAAGCACAATTTGACACTCTAAATTTTTTGGTGCCTAACTACCTTTGTGTTCCAGGACTTACCTACCCCCTACCTTGTGTTGGCAATAGAGCTTTTCATCGTTTTTTTGTATTCTCCCACTGTTAAAAATTGTCATGATACACACATGAGAGTTTGCATGGTACGTACACCCTCAATTGGTCTATATCTCCTAAGCTTTTTCATCGTTTCGTGTTCCTTCGTGAAGCTATTAACTGCTGTTGGCAAGGATTCAGAAATGAGCAAAGTCAGCAACATTAATTAATATACCATTAATGTAGAGGGTTATCCTAAAGTTATTGAAAGTTTTTAAAAATGAATAAAGAAAAGGGAGCTTAAAAATCTGACTGGTGGCCAGGCGCGGTGGCTCGCGCCTGTAATCCTAGCACTTTGGGAGGCCGAGGTGGGCGGATCATGAGGTCAGGAGATCGAGACCATCCTGGCTAACACGGTGAAACCCTGTCTCTACTAAAAATAAAAAAAATTAGCCAGGCGTGGTGGCGGGCACCTGTAGTCCCAGCTACTTGGGAGGCTGAGGCAGGAGAATGGTGTGAACCCAGGAGGTGGCACTTGCAGGGAGTCCAGTGAGCCACTGCACTCCAGCCTGGGCAGTCTCAAAAAAAAAAAAAAAAAAAAAAATCTGGTGAAATACGTAAGTTAAAAATGTATAGAGTCATAGGTGACCAACTATATTAGTAAGAGAATAAACCAAGGTATGGCATTCCAAAACCAGTGAGTGAGTTTTTAAGTGTTCTCCAGTGTTGTTTGTTTTTTTTCAATTTTATATTGGCATATCTTTGTATTCTTCTTTAGTTGTTTGTTGGTTTTTGGCATTCTTAAGAAGTGTATTTGGGCAGATTTCTTCTTCTTTTTACTTTTTTTTTCTGTAGAAATGGGGTCTCGCTGTATTGTTCAGCTGGTCTTGAACTCCTGGCCTCAAGTGATCCTCTTACCTCAGCCTCCCAAAGCTCTGGGATTACAGGAAAGAGCCACTGCCTGACCAGATTTATTCTTATCTAAAGAGATACTGTTTTGCAGAAGGATGGGTTCAGTGAAAAAACAAGAGAGAGACACTAGTATAAATTTTAAAATGTGCTGCCATAGTGTAGGTTTTGTATCATTTAGATATTAGATTTTCAAAAGTAATCCTAAAAATTTGGACAGGCAATTTTTACTGATTCTGATTTATATTTTTAATTTTCATGTTAGCATATAAACTACAAAAGCAATTCTTAGATTGTTTTATTCAACGACTTAAATTATTTTTTCTTTAAACAGGAATTGTCATTTTGCCTTTAATCTTTTCTATAGGGGCGTGGTTGCTCTCCAGACCCTACGAAAATTAGTTGAACTTACTCAGAAGCCAGTTCATCAGCTCTTTGATTACATTTGTGGTGTAAGCACAGGTAATTATTATATGGAAGTGGTGCATTCTGGCAGTACATTAAGGAAGAGAACATTAAGTACTTATGTTTAAGATCATAGTCCTTTGCCTCCTCTAGCCCTCTCTCCATACCCCAAAATTTTCTCCTCCCGTTTCTCTTTTGTTCATGGTTATGCCATTTAGGCACACTAGGTGGCAGTGTGTCCTACCAATTATAGCTAGATATGGAATCAGCTGTTTAAAAGGACGTCCAAGAGTACCTAGTATCTTTAATTACATTGGTTCCTAGGACTAACTTGAAGGAGAATCGCTTAGTGACTTGGTGAGTTGTCAAATATACCATATTTTAAGACTAAAACTAAGTAATTTATTGATGTTAGAAAGAACGTGAGTTATCTACCATATCTTATGTATACTTTAATGTAAAACACATTTGTAAATATTTTTAAATTATTATTTTCATTATTTAATCCTTTTTGAGCATTCATTTAATCCTTTTTGAGACCTAGTAAATTCCTTTACATTTGTTAACCCAGTACAAGAGACATGAATTTTAGTTTTTCTTATTACTCCCATTTTACACGTGAAAAAAATGGGGCTCTGAGAAGGAAAGTCATTTGTCCCAGGTGACATAGCTAGAAAGTATCAACTCTAAATTTAAGCCAAAACTATGATTCAGGAGATCTTATCAGCATAAGGGCTATAACTTAACACTGATAAAAACTAAGAATTCTTTTTTCCAGGTGCCATATTAGCTTTCATGTTGGGGTTGTTTCATATGCCCTTGGATGAATGTGAGGAACTTTATCGAAAATTAGGATCAGATGTATTTTCACAAAATGTCATTGTTGGAACAGTCAAAATGAGTTGGAGCCATGCATTTTATGACAGTCAAGCATGGGAAAACATTCTTAGGTAAGTTACAATTACTCTTTTTAAATGTTCTAATTATATAGGTAGTATGTGCATATTATAATTTCAAAAATAAGAATATTAAGTTATATTCTTGCATAATTTGAAAAACATCAAGAATATTAAATTATTCTACTAATTACAGATAACCACTGTTAGTATTTTGGTGAATCATAGTTTAATAATTGTTTTGGGGGGTTCGTGTGTGTGAGATTTGCATGTAAAAGTTACAATTGCCTTTTTTTAAAAATATGAGATATTTGCATCCTGTTGTTTTTACTTAACATATTAAATGTGTCTCAAGTCATTCTAAAATATTCAGTTATTTTTATTTTTATTTATTTTTTGACACACGATGTCACTCCCGTTGCCCAGGGTAGTGTACAGTGGTACTGTCTTGGCTCACTGCAGCCTCAACTTCCCAGGCTCAAGTGATCCTCCCACCTGAGCCTCCCAAGTAGCTGGGACCACATGTGTGCACCACCATGCCCAGCTAATTTTTTCTATTTTTAGTAGAAACAAGATTTCACCGTGTTGCTCAGGCTCCTAACCTCAAGTGATCCGCCTGCCTCCCAAAGTGTATATAAGCATACAATATAAGCATAAAATCATCCACAATCCTATTATTCAGAGCTGTAGACTTTAATATATTTCCTTCTAGTTTTTTATTAGACCATAAACATTTTGTATAGCTGAGATTAGATTGTAGTTGTAAATTTGTATCCTTTTCCTTTTTCCAAACATTCTTAAAATCTCCTGACATATTTTTAAAGACTACACTATACTCCAGAGTGGGATGTTACATTTTCTTAATCATTTCCATTTAGGATTTTTATGGACATTTAGGACATTTATGTTCCTAATTTTTTGGGATTATGAATGATGCTGTCATAGAAAACTTTAAATTTCTTCTCACATTTCAGAATATATCAGTAGGTCACTATATAAGAAGCATATTTATTGGGTCTAATGTTGATGTCTTCTTAAAATAATTATTACATAGGAAATAGAAAATATATCAAGAAAACAATAAAAATAATTTATAATCCCACTAAGAACAAAAGCACTATTAACATGGTGATGTATTTTTTCCTGTAATTTCTTACAGATAGACAAGTGTATATGTGTGTAGTTGTGAGTGTAGGTGTATCCATCCTCTTTACAAAATTCAGATAATGCACATGTAGTCTTGAGTCCTGCATTTTCACTTAGCATTTTATCACAGATGATTTCCTATGTCAGTTAATATGTTTTGAAACATATATTAATGGTTCTTCACCATTTTATGGATGTACTATTTTTTATTTAACAAATCCTCTTTTAGAAAAAGATAAGGTAATTTTCTAGAAGTAAAATTTTGGGTCAGAGGATATGCGTGTTTTAACAATCTTGATACATACATAGCTGAATTTGTTCTTCAATACAGTGGTTTTAGCTTACTCATCCAGCAACATCAACATGTATTTCTGTTTCATGAAATATTCGTGAACACCAGACACTTCATGTTTAAAATGACATTAGTTTGAGAGATTTTGAAACTCATGTTTCAATTTGTATCACTTTCATTATTGATGAGTTTGAACTTAGTTTTGGTTTTTGATGGCTTTTTATTATTTTTTTTGTGAATTTTGAGGGCATAATTTTTGCCTATTTTCTCATGGGATATTCCTCAATGTGTTGTAAATATATTAACCATATATTGAAAAAGTGCTTTCTAATTAATAATTTTTTAATGTAGAACATTGAAACATCTTCATTTAGCCAAATCTTTTCCTTTAAAGATTTTTAACTTTTATGTTTGTAAGTCTTTCCTACAATCCTACTACTGGGTATATACCCAAAGGAAAATAATTCATTCCGTCAAAAAGACACATGCACTCATGTGTTCATCATAGCACTGTTCACAATGGCAGATACAAGGAATAAACCCAGGTGCCCATCAACAGTGGATTGGATAAAGAAAATGTGGTACATATACATTGTGGAATACTATGCAGCTATAAAAAAAATGAAATCATGTCCTTTGCAGCAACATGGTTGGCACCGGAGGCCATTATAATAAGCAACCTAACACGAAAACATAAAGCCAAATACCACATATTCTTTCTTACAAGTGAGAGCTAAACGTTGAATGTACATGAACATAAAGATGGGAACAGTTGACGCTGGAAACCATTAGACGGGAGGGAGAGTGGGGGTGTGAGCTGAAGAACCACTTGTTGGGTATCATGCTTACTGCCTAGGTGATAGGATTGTTGGGACCCCAAGCCTCAGTGACACACAGTTTACCCATTAACAAACCTGCATACATACTCTTTATACTAAAAGTTTAAATTAAAAAAAAAAAATAAGTCTTTTCTACCTTGAAGGTAGGTAAATATTTGTATTATTTCCTAGTTCTAAAGTTTTCAGTTTATATGTAATTCTGAAGTTACCTAAAACTTATTGTGATATATGTTGTAAGGTAATCAAGCTTTATTTTTTTAATCAAATGTTAATCCAAATGTCCCAGCTCCCTTTACCAAGTTTTTTTTTTTTTAACTGATTCGAAACATCATCTTTATCATATTTGAAATTCTTATCTATATTAGAATCTACGTTCAAGTTTTTGGTTTCTCTATGGATTTATTTTTGTACAAATTCTGCAAATTTAGTTGTTGAACCTTTGCATAATATTTTTATAATGATATAGCATAGCAAATCTTTTCTCCTTATTCTTCTTTTACACAATTTTCATTTAATATTCAAAGTTAATCTTAGGCTACTTTTATCACATAAAAAAATATTCCACTGATATTTGGATGGAAATTACATGGAACGTATCACTTATTTTGTGGAACATTGACATCTTTCCAATCGTGGAATCTTCCCATCCATTATCATTGTATGTTACTTATTTTCACATCTTTTGTGTCTATTAGAAAATATAGTTCACCATCCTGGCTAACAGGGTGAAACCCCATCTCTACTAAAAATACAAAAAAAAAAATTAGCCGGGCATGGGGGCGGGCATCTGTAGTCCCAGCTACTCGGGAGGCTGAGGCAGGAGAATGGCATGAACCCAGGAGCAGTGAGCCGAGATCACAGCACTGCACTCCAGCCTGGGCAACAGAGTGAGACTCCGTCTCAAAAAAAAAAAAAAGAAAAGAAAAAAAGTATATATATATAAAAAATTAATATCTATTCCCAGATTCATTTGATCAATACTTTTTATTAAGATTATTTAATGAAAATTTAAAAATTTATTCTAAAACCAGTTTCTCTACTATGAAATTTTTTTCCTTTTGTTACTTATGAGAGTATCTTTGCATATTTGTGTATTGCTGTCTCATTTTTACTCTTCTAGAAACTTCTTTATTTTTAATCCTAACACTGATAAATTTTATCAGTGTGGTTAGTTGTTTTTCTTTCTCTGCTTTTTCAAATTCAGCCTTTGCTGCAGAATAAGCCACTCCAAAACTTAGTGGCTTAAAGCAATGATTATTTAGTCTCATGACTCTGTGGTTTGACTGGGTGTTTCTTCTGTTCTTGACTGAGCTCACTTGGTGACTCAGCTAATGGGCCTGGGAAGTCTCTCTCTCCACCTGGTCATTCTTACCCAAGCTTTGTCTCATCATTGTGGTTTCAGAGTTCCCAGAGGGCAAGCCCCAGTGGATAAGCACTTATCAAGCCTCAGTTTAATGGCATGTTTGCTGAGGTCACATGGACTGAAAGCCACGCCAACCGAGAGTCTGTAGGAAGAGACTATATACAACGACATGGATACCAGGACTATGATTCACTGGGTGCCATTATTGTTAATATTCTTCTCTACCTACCTTCTGACCTTTTTTGTCATAGCATTTTTTTTCCCTCATTGTTTATTGAGAGGATTTTTTTTTTCCTGTGATAATTTTGTGTTATTTTAAGGGAACTATTTTATGGCATCAGTGGAATCTAGGCATGTTGATTTTTTTTTTTCATATTTTGGCATCTCAGAAATAAACAATTACCATTACTTTCTTTACAAATTTATATTCATAAGTTAATTCACTGAAACCTTTTTAGCTTTTGATAAAATCAAGATTTAAACAAAAATGAAAATAAATAAATATGAACTTTGCCAAAAAGTGTGAAAGGAGCATGCTCCTAGGATTTCTCATGTAATTTTACAGTAAGAATTCTATGAAAAGACAAAGAACCTTAAAAAGATAAAATGCATGGATCTTCATGTGGTAGAAATCTATAGATAAGGTTGGGGAAGACAAAAGATCTTGTCGATTTTGGAAAGTACTTTACATTGATATTTATTAAAGCTTATAAAGGGTAGATCACTAAGCAGTTTGTAAATATTCTTTTTATGAAATTCACTAATATTCTAGTTGAGAAACATGAGTATTGTTTGAAAAACACATTAGAAAATGGTTTTACTCGTGAGGAAGGTTGGTGAAACCATACATAGCCTTTGTATTCAATATAGGGAAAATACATAATTTTTAAGTCTGGAAAAGTCTGCATTGAAATAAAATTCTCTTACTATGGAATTGCAAAAATTGCTGCCCAAGGACAATTTCTGTAATGTCATAGTAATTCAAATGCCAACTCTGATGATTTTCAAAGCAGTTTTCTTGATGACATTGGCTCTTACCAACTAAAACAAGCTTCAAGTCTCATTGTCCTCACCTGGTTACTCTAACTAGCCCATGCATACTTCTGCAATCTTATCTCAACACAGCTCCTTTATCCTATTGGCAGGACCCTGAAAACAACAGATTTCTTTTGCCTTTGTGCCTTTAATCTGTATACGTCCTAGCTTTAAATATGTTGCCTTGAAGTCTTTCAGTGTCTTCCTCAAGCTAATTTCCTGCATCTTTTCCAGTTACTGTCCCTCTATTGATTGCTCCACTTCAGAACTATAGATACTTGCAGTTTGAATCAGAGGTTGATAAATAACTGCATATTGTTTCATGTGAATTAATGGGATTATAAGCCTCCTAGAGGAGAGTCTTACATTTTTTCCCTCATAGCACTTTGACGAAGCCATGGACAAACAATAATTGCATACTGTATGTTTCCTGGTTGTTAGGAGATAAAGTCATTTTGATATAACTTATTTTTTCTCCTTTAATAAAGGGATAGAATGGGATCTGCACTGATGATTGAAACAGCAAGAAACCCCACATGTCCCAAGGTAAGCTTAGAGTCTCTTAAATATAACACCTAGTTCCATCTGAAGGTGTGGTGAAAGCACTTGTCCTGAGGGCCCTTTTGTTTTATTTTATTTTTTTATTTTTTGAGACGGAATTTCACTCTTATTGCCTGGCTGGAGTGCAATAGCGCAATCTTGGCTCACCGCAACCTCCGTCTCCCATGTTCAAGTGATTCTTCTGCCTCAGCCTCCCGAGTAGCTGGGATTACCGGCATGTGCCACCACACCTGGCTAATTTTTTTGTATTTTTAGTAGAGATGGGGTTTCTCCATGTTGGTCAGGCTGGTCTCTAACTCCCAACCTCAGGTAATCTGCCCACCTCGGCCTCCCGAAGTGCTGGGATTACAGGCATGAGCCATTGTGCCCGGCCCTGAGGGCCCTTTTATTAAGGTATTATAGATTAATTAATTCTTTATATATTGAGTCATTCTATGAAGAGATAGGATATGATCCTTATACCTTTTCTAAATCCAGTAAGACTATAAGAGAAATGGAAGAACATGAAAGTCAGACTGAAAATAAGGAAGAATTATTTCATCATAATTTAAAAAATCAAATTTAGTGATTTAAGGAACATTATGACATTTCTTACCCTAGATTTTTAAAGAGAAATTTTATATGCCTCTTAGATACATATAATACAATCATGCATCACTTAATGGGAATACATTCTCAGAAGTGTGTCATTAGGTGATTTTGTCATTGTGCAAGTATTATAGAGTATACCTAGACATGCTTAGATGGTATAGCCCATTACACATGTAGACTACATGGTGTAGCCTATAGCTCCTAGGCTATAAACCTGTACAGCAGGTGACTATACTGAATACTGTAGGCAATTGTGGCACAATGGTAAGAATACTTACGTATCTACAGATATACAAATATCTAAATAAAAAATATCTATAGAAAAGATACAGTAAAAAATACAGCATAGAAGCCCCTTTATAGTCTTATGGGACCACTGTTGTATATGCGGTCCATCATTGACCAAAACATTGATATGCAGTGCATGACTATATTAGATTATATTGTTATACAAATTGAATCCCCAGTAAAATTTTAATGTCACTTAGATGTGTCTCAGTGTGACTCTTCATTTATTTTTTTGTTTGAAACCCGATGATCTGAGTATTGCTTGAGTTCTGTTTAATTTACTTGTTTAAAGAATAGAATTTATGTGCCTAGAAATTTCATGCAGCTTGTATTTATTCTCAGATAACAAACTGTAACCGTGAAAAATCAAACAAGTGCAGCTCCTTCTATTGCTCTTTATGGCATACTCATACTTTGATTCATTCTGCAAGTATTAATTATGCACCCACTGCTAGGCACTTTGGATTCATTTGTGGGCAAATGCAGACATGGGGTTTATAGCTCTGTAGGGCAGCAAAGGTATTAATGAAATAATCACAAAGATGACATGTCATAGTTTCCCTGAAATACATAAGTGCTATGAAGCATAAAAGCAGTTTTCTGAAAGCATATTTTTAAAGGGACGTGAGGGACAGCTACTTTAAGGAAGTGAGATTTGAGATGTCAGTGTGAAGGCCATTGAGTAGGAGCATTCCTGGCAAAGGGAATGACCTGTGCAGGAAGAGTCATAGAGAATTCCACTAAATGATAGAGTTCTTGAAGACTAGTGCCTCAGAATCTGAGGGCCGCACGTGAGATGGGGCTGGAGCAGTAGGCCAATTAGATCAGACGCAGGGCCTCAGAGGCTGTGATGAAGAGATGACTTAGCTCTTTTGGACAGGACACTAGGGTGCACTCTATGCCTCTTGCTTGTTCCCCTGTATCTCCAAGGCTCCTGTTTGTTTGCTTGGTTTAAATCATGGAAGTTGTCAGTTTTGAATAAAATTTATGGAGAACTTTAGCCATCTTAAGAAGTAAATAATCATGATAAATGGAGAGCCATTCATATGTTTTCTTAATTCAGCCATATTTATATTCCAATTATAGAAAGACTCTGGATTTTAGTGTATGGCCAATGCCTATCCATAGTGGCCTAGAGACAGATTTGGATTACTCACAGGAATTTGGCATGTGACCTTTGTTTATTAAATATCAAAACAATTGGCAGGACTTGGCATAGGACACTAACTTTTGCCTCATCAATACCTGTCAGCCTCTTAAGTTTGTATTACAGATCATTAACAAAACAGCACATTTCATGTCAATTTAACCAACAATGATAAAATTTGAGACCTGAGATGGTTGACATTATAGTTTTTTAATAAACATTACCCAACTACCAGGTTTTAATAATTGTGACCTGAAAGCATTGATTGTGTAGTGTTACATTTCAGTTTTATTGAAGTCAGAATACTTTCATAGAGCACAGAAACAAAGACTAATTTGTAAGTGATATTATGAAAATAGTGTACTTATCCTGAAGCAGTTTTTTGTTTGTTTGTTTTGAGATAGAGTCTCACTCTGTCACCCAGGCTGGAGTGCAGTGATGCGATCTCAGCTCACTACAACCTCCACCTCCTGGGCAAGCGATTCTGCTGCCTCAACCTCCCGAGTAGCTGGAAGGCGCCGCCATCATGTCCAGCTAATTTTGTCTTTTTAGTTGAGATGGGGTTTCACCATTTTGGGCAGGCTGCTCTTGAACTCCTTACCTAAAGTGATCCACCTTCCTCGGCCTCCCAAAGTGCTGGGATTACTGGTGTGAGCCACTGCACCCAGCCTTTAAGCAGTTTTTATTCATTACTACTGTTTTGTCAATTATTAAGTAAAAGTCTAGAAATCTTTGCCTTTTTGAATATTTTTTAAATCAAATTGAATGGTGGTCAAATAAATCTCTTATTATTATTCTCTTATAATAAATTTCTCAGAATTGCTTCAGCCTTTATATCTATTATCCCACAAAGAAATGCCTGTTTAAAAGATCTGATTTTCTTTTTTCAACATTATAGTTGTGTTACACATATTTATTTGATAGAGTTGTAGATTGTTCATTCATACTACTAAATAGTATTTAATTTTTACAGATCCCAAATATATTACTGTTAACGATGGAATTGTTCACCTTTTTATTTACTAGGTAGCTGCTGTAAGTACCATAGTAAATAGAGGGATAACACCCAAAGCTTTTGTGTTCAGAAACTATGGTCATTTTCCTGGAAACAACTCTCATTATTTGGGAGGCTGTCAGTATAAAATGTGGCAGGCCATTAGAGCCTCATCTGCTGCTCCAGGCTACTTTGCAGAATATGCATTGGGAAATGATCTTCATCAAGTAAGTTGGCTTGTATGTCTTATCTTTTAAAATTTTACATGATTAAAAGAATCAGCACGTATTAAATGTCATTGATCTTCAGAAGGATCAACCTAGGAGACTTTCTTCTTTGTGTCTTCATATGTCAGAAGAGGAACAATTTAGGATATTTTTATTTGTTGTTTTTCTTAACAAGCCTCTGACATGCAAACACATTTTGGGAAAATTTTTGTGTGTTATATAGTGTGATTCGTAGCCCATTATGATAATTTTGATGGAAAAGTGAGAGTATGTATGATTAGCTTTCCAAACATGATAAAAATTAAAACCGATATACACTCCCTGAAAATGCAGAACCCAGTCTGTTTGACAGTTTGGGTGGGCATAGTTTGAAGAAAGGGATACAGTAAAATAATAATAAATACTCATTAAGTTAGCTGTGTGCCAGACACTTATTTAGTGCTGTGCATGCATTATCTCATTTAATCCTTGCTACTTATGAGGTAGAATTATTTCCATTTTACAAACAAGGAATTCGCACCTTAGGAAAAGTTAAGTAACTGGACTAGCATTACAGCTGTTAAGTTACAGGGTTAGGATATTGTCTGTAATTATACTCTTTATTTGTAAAGTTGAATATTATTTCTGGAAATTCTTTTTATGTTATGTAAACTCATTTACACTTTTCGTCTGTCAAGTTTTTCCAACTCTTTATGGAAATCTTAATTCATAACTTACACTAAATGCTAATAAAGCTTTAGAGCTGATACTTTGAAAGCTTGTATTTTTATATATGCTTAATTTTTTATATTATGTCTCATTTAAAGGAGTAGAATGAGAGGAATCTAGATGTTTTTCTGTAGTCCCTAAAGTATGTCTACTCTCTTTATTTGGTCAGATATCTGTTGAGAAAAAAATCTTATACTGTTGACAGGGATATTCAGGTAGCATTCAAAAACTCATACATAGATCTATATAAACAACATGCCAACAATATAAACTTCAAAACTTTCAAATGGATCATTTAAATGTAAATGTCAATATTATAACTAAAACATTTTTATCAATTTTATCTCATTTTGATACAATAGCTTATATATATTTTTAAATGTTATGGTCAGCTATTCCCATTTTCTTTTTAATCTTTAAGTAATATAATATTTGTAGCTAAGAGATTAAAATAGGATTCCTTTGTCTTTGGAGTCAGTTCAAACCATTTCTTACTTTGCAGAATCAGTCATTGTTGAATTATGTAAGGCACTTCCCCTTCTTGCCTTTCTTCTCTTTCTTCCACCCCCTCAGGCAGAAAGTACTGGCTGCTGAGATTCTGATAGTGATTTCAGGACTTAATGGTCAAAATAAAATTTTTATTTTAATATGTGGCTTACTATTTTTAACAGCGATTTCCCCCTATTCGTATGTACTGTGTCATAAATTGAGAAATAATTTAGACAGTGTATGTAAAATACAATAGGATTTCTAAGTTATAACCTTAATATAGTGCTACAAACTTTCAGTTATGCCAATTAGTGAAAGTCTCAAATACTAAATAATTACATTTGGGGATCATGTGTTTTCCACATTTCAAAAGAAGTTATCTCATTTGCTCTTTATTCTTTACCTAAGAGGAAGTAGTTCTAAAGTTTAACTCAGTACTGTTGAATATATATACCAAAGTAATTCAGCGGTTCCTTTTCCATTTCAGATAGATTAGTGATATTTCTGTTCATGCTTAGACATTTTTATATTGATGACCGTAATCCTTCAACTTATTTTGAGCCACAGATTAAAATAACTTCTTAGGGTTATTTGAATAAATAAATGTTATTTATAATTTACATAAATTTTTATGTAAAGCATATAGCCACATGGGCAAAAAATGTACTTTCATATAAATAAATAAGCTTCAGAAACATTGGCACATTTAATTAATAAAAGTATTCAAATGGAATCTGGAGCCCAAGAAACCTACTTAAGGAAATATTTTTCTTACTGTATATTCTCTTCCAAGACTTGAAGAAGAAATGGGGTACTTTTCCCTTCAAATGACAACTCAGAAGATTGATGGGAATATTTTAAGGTGTGAATGATCTTGGTTGCTTTAAACAAAGAAAATATTCAAGCGAAGTCCTAATTCTTTCTAACCATTCAGAAGTTTTGCTAAGTTTAAAGTATGGTACTTACTACAACCTTCTCATCCTAAATTCTTTTAATAATTATATTCAATTATTACCAGTCTTATTTTGAAAATCCCTTTTAGCTGTCACATCTAACATATGTTTTAATGTAGTTACTTTGTATCCATTGTAGTAGAAGTTAATTAATATTCTATTTGAGCAATTATTGAAAGTAGTGATATAATTAAGAGTTATGAGTAGGTGAATGGGGAGATTTCATTTGCCTTTGACTATAAGAAGAAGAGTATTACAAAATTTATAAGGTTCATTAGAAGTCCTAGAAAATTATAAAGTGAGAAGAATTCTTTGTGAGTAGCTCCCAATCTCTCCCCATCTGCCCAAGTAGTAGCATAATATGTACATGGAAGTACTACTTTTTACACAAAATTATTCCATCTCTCTTTCCATCTCCACCTTCAAAATTAAATTGTTCATTCCTGTCTTTGGAGAAGGAATCTAATAAATTAGTTTACACTAGAGGTTTTGATGACCAATTCTGATATACATATTATTCCTACCAGGCTTTATTTACATCATAAAAGTTTTTGTTCAGAGCTTAGGATACATGAACATAAATAAATTATGAAATTTTTGTTTAAACATTGCAGGTAAAGAGTGTTTTTAGCAGAAAGAACCTCGCTGACACCTGCTAAATTATGCCTATACCAAACCACAATCAATAATTTTCATTATAAATGGACAGAAATGTAGTGAGTGCTTACTCAGTGTCAGGCACTGTGCTAGCTGGGAAGGATATAAAGATTTTTAACCATAGTTGGCATATTGTTTGTGCTTCCTGGATCCTGCCCTCAAATAGTTCAGACAAAAGAATGTAAACCCAGTTATAGAATAAGGTGAAAATTTAACCATCAACATATGTACAGGATTAAGAAGTACTATAGAGGTGATTTATTCTGTCAGGGTCAGCTTAACAAAGAAGTTGTCATCTGACTTGATGTATAAAAATTGGGTCATTGATTAGGGATAGAAAATGGGATAAGGAAGGGAAAATGGGGAGTGATTCCTCAATGGTTACAGAGTATGGGTGATAAAAATGTTTTGGAAATAGATTGTAGTGTCAAGATACAGTGGCTTACACCTGTAATCCCAGCACTTTGGGAGGTTGAGGCTAGAGGATCGCTTGAGCTCAGGAGTTTAAGACCAGCCTGCTGCAACATAGTGAGACCCTGTGTCTACCAAAAAAAGAAAAAAATATTAACAGGATGTGGTAGTCCACACCTGTAGTCCCAGCTGCTCTGGAGGCTGAGGTGTGAGGATCACCTTAAGCCCAGGAGTTAAAGGTTACAGTGAATGCCACTGCTATCCAGCCAGGACAACAGAGCAAGACCCTGCCTCAAAAAAAAGTAGATAGTGGTGATGTTCACAAAACATTATATAATTAATGCCACTTAATTGTACCCTTAAAAATCATTTAAATGACCAATTTTGTGTTATATTAATTTACCACAATAAAAAGCAAATTTTAAAAGAAACTAAGAAAAAAAGTCAGAATAAGATAATAAAAAGGCATATCGACGTTGTCCAACGCTTACTTTCTGGTACGTGTTCTGACTTTGGATTTGAAGTGATTAAATATACATTAAAAGCAATAAAATGTATTTGTAAATTTTAGGCTATTAAGCACATGTATAGTATACTGCAGTTCAAACACAATCTGTGTGTTCCTCTAAGAGATAATAAGTAAATTATTCAATCAAGTCATTTATCAAGTCGATTTTACTTTGGCAGTTAGCAGTATGCCTGGCACATGCCATCTATAAAAAAATAACTGTAAATATGAATACTTGAATGAATGGAAAGGCTACAGAAACTACCACAGACCCAACATTAGCCCAATGACGTATTGATAGAATAGGCATCTGAAAAGAGGAGGCTAACTATAAAACAGAGCTTAAGAGTTAGTGTGCCTCACCACTAGATTAGAGTGAGCCCAGAAACCTTAACTGCTGCACTGTTTTAATAAAATGTGAGTAAAGTTTAAGGAACAGAAATTTACTTTGAAAAATGGTTAGCGAAACTACAGGAAACCTGCCAGTTTTTTGATTTGGGATTGATTTTGCAGTTATCGTTTCTTGCTAAAATTTGTTTGCCTCTTCATCTTTTCCCTTTTTTGTCTTTTCTGATCATCCTTATATAGGCTTTTATATAATGAAAATGTGTTTCATCTAAAATACCTACTTGATTAGAAGTTACACAGGGTATAACAAGTATAGAATTTAAGATTTAAATGGTTTAGTAAAAAAATAATGTTTTCTGCCAAATTAGAATTTAAATGTTACCTCTATCACAGGATAGGTATCATTCTAATAATCTGTTAATTGAAAACAAAGGAAAAAGTTGAAAAGATTAAATTCAAATTTGTACATGAGAAAGCCTTTAGGAAATAGCTTAATTATTACCACCTGCATTGAAGGAATCTAGATTTTTACAAAGTTCAGCAATACAAATATAAATACCTATCCAATTTATTACTTTCAACACATGTATAAAGATAGCTAAATTTAAAACTAGTTCTTTTCAACTGGTGAATGGATAAACTATGGTATATTCAAATAATGAAATATTACTCAGCAATAAAAAGGAGTGAATTACTGACATTCACAGAGACATAGATGAATCTCACAAGCATTCTGCTAAGTGAAAGAAACCAGTCCCAAAAAACTTATGCTATATGATTCCATTCATTTTGATAACAAAGTTCAATGTGTGACCTTGAAGAGTAGTTGGATGAATAGGTTTTTGGAGTAAATGTGGCAACAAACCACCCATGCTAAAATGGAGAATAAAGCAAGCAATAAAAAGATGTGGCAAACTGCTTTTCTGAACGTCAACACAGCCCTCTGTATCCCAGTTATCTCAAGGGTATCACAAAGCTACACATTGGTGATAAATGGTGATAAATGACATTTGCCATAATAAAGGTCCATTAGCCTCAGGCTGGTTATTCTATAACTAAAGAGCCAGTTAACTTTCTCTGGAAAGTGTTGTTAGTATTTAGGAACATTTCTATATATTGATAGCTGCCTCCAGCTTATTGATCCAACCAGAGTATTATTTGAGATACAGGTTTTTGAGAAAGTTGTTTTGTAATGCCATAAATGAAGACTTACCATAATCTAAGGTTTGCAAAATACTGCCACTCCCCCTAAAATAACTGAGCATAAATTTGTGAAAAGATGAGGGGTGTTCTTCACATTCCATGAGAAATTTTAGTAACAATAGTATACTTCATTAGTAGGGCAAAATCCTACATGATGTTTTTAATGGGACCTTCAAGCCAGAGCACTAATGGTGGGGTAGATGATTTTCCACAAAGAAAACTACTTGGGAGAATTGATTATATTGCTATATACAAGCAGAGAATAATTGGAAATCAAAATTATAACAAAAGCAGTATAGTTTACAGTAGATCCAAAAAATTAAGTACTTAGGTATAAATCTAACAAAACATAGAGAATCTGTATGTTGAAAACAGAAGATGAAAGAAATAAAAGAAGACCTAAAGAAATGGAAAGGCATACCATGATTGAAAGATGCTACATGGTAAAGATGTGAGTTATTCCTGAAGTGATCTATAAATATAATGCAATGCCAATCAAAACTCTAGTAGGACTTTTCAAAAATTATACAATCAGATTCTAAAATTTATATGGAAGGGCAGAGGAATGAGAATAGTTTAAACAACTTTATTATTTATTTATTTATTTATTTATTTATTTATTTATTTATTTAGAGACAGAGTCTCGCTCTGGCACCCAGGCACAATCTCAGCTCACTGCAACCTCCACCTCCCAGGTTCAATTGATTCTGTTGCCTCAGCCTCCGGAGTAGCTGGGACTACAGATGCGCACCACCACCCCCAGCTGATTGTTTGTATTTTTAGTAGAGACAAGGTTTCACTATGTTGTCCAGGCTGGTCTTGAACTCCTGGGCTCAGGCAGTCCGCCTGCCTCGGCTCCCCAAAGTACTAGGATTACAGGCATGAGCCACTGCACCTGGCCTAAACAATTTTAAAAGAATAAAAAGTTTCAAGGAATCACACTACTCAATTTAAAAACTTACTCTAGAGGTACAGTAGTCATGGCTACTGTATCAGTGTGGTATTTGCATAAAGAGAGATATATAGATAAATGGAATTAAATAGAGAGTTCGGAAATAGATCATACATATATGGCCATTTGATCTTTGACAAAGATACAAAAGCAATTCAATGGAGAAAGGATAGTCTTTTCAGCAAAAATTGTGTTGAAACAATTGGTCATCTTTCTCTCTCCCTCTCTTTTCCCTTAACTCCCCACCACACACACAAACACACCCCAGAAACCGTGACCTAAACCTTGCACATTATACAAAGATAATTCATAATGGATCACAGTTCTAAATGTAAAACAAAAACTGTGAAACTTTTAGAAGAAAAACTTGGTGACCTGGGTTAGGCAAAGACTTCTTACAATTATACTGAAATCATCATACATGAAATTAAAAAATTGAAATTGAAAGTTTGAGGCTGGTCTTGAACTCCTGGACTCGAGTGATTCTCCTGCCTCGGCCTCCCAAAGTGCTGAGATCACAGGCATGAACCACCGTGCTCAGCGTATTTTTCTAGATTTTAAATACAATATAATGTTGATGATGTAATATATTTTCATATGGTTCTACAGTATATTTTATTATAGTTTGACCATAATTTTATCTACTTTTATGCTAGTACATTTTTATAGTGCTCTATCAGCATATTTTATTAATACCTTTGTTTCCTTTTGAATTCTTCAAAATAATCTTGATTATTGATAAATACTTAGAAATATAAAGTTTTGTCTATGTTGTTTACATTGTATCTGCGTTATAATGAATGTGATCCATTGAAATTGTATTGTTAATAGAATTTCAACTAACTTAGAATTATTTGGTTATATTTGACTTGTGAGAGAAGAACTAATTTTAATTGTTTGGTAGAACCACAGTTCTTTCTGTTAGGCTTTAAGTAGAACCTGTATTAACCACTAAATAAGATAATGTGTCTTTGAAAAGTAATTCAGTTCATTTCAATATTTTTTAGCAGAATATGCAAAGCAACTAAGAAGTTCAAAGAACTTTCATAATAGGAAAGGAAAACTTAATAAGAAGTTTCTTTATGAGGCCAATGAGTCTTCACATGAATTTTTTTGCAGCTGTAGTCTATAAATAAAGAAATGTACTTTTAAGGAACCTCTTAGTTTTAAATAATTTATTTAGCTTATTACATAGTTCAGCTTTTCCTGTGAGTCAGTTTTAAGAGTTTCTTTTTTTAACTTGTATTTTGCAGGATGGAGGTTTGCTTCTGAATAACCCTTCGGCTTTAGCTATGCATGAGTGTAAATGTCTTTGGCCAGATGTCCCGTTAGAGTGCATAGTATCCCTGGGCACCGGACGTTATGAGAGTGATGTGAGAAACACGGTAACACACACAAGCCTGAAAACCAAACTTTCTAATGTTATCAACAGTGCTACAGATACAGAAGGTTAGTCTTGTTTACTGTTTAAAATACTTCAACTTCTAGCATTCTAGCAGTTTTTTGGTGGCATATGTTGGTCCTAACTGCAAAGGCATATGAAATGTCTGTATTGTGGGTTTAGGAAGGATATGGAAGCAAACATTTTGTTGTTTTCCTTTCTTGCTTGTTTCTTGTTAGGTGACTAGAACAGAGACTGTTTTCCATTTGAAAGCTAGTGCTCCCTTTGCCCACTTACTGTTGGAGAAGTGCCTGAAGCTGGATAGCACAATATTTTGTTGGAGACTCTGAAGCCAGTTAAGAAAGGGAAAAGCAACAGAAGGAGTCAGATTGGTTCAAACATATACATGATAGCAAAGATTTAGAGTAAAGGGCATTCGATTATTTAATACTGTGAAGGCAAACTGGAATGAGAATGTGCTCTGCTTTTACTCTTGCTGCCCCTATATTTTAGTCTTCATACAGAGGCCAAAGTCATCCTTTTAAAATGCAAATTAGGCTGGGCACAATGGCTCACACCAGTAATCCCAGCACTTTGGGAGGCCGAGGCGGTTGGATTACTTGAAGTCAGGAGTTCGAGACCAGCCTGATCAATGTGGTAAAACCCCGTCTCTACTAAAAATACAAAAAATTAGCCAGGCATGGTGGTGTGCACCTGTAATCTCAGCTCCTTGGGAGGCTGAGGCAGGAGAATCACTTGAGCCTTGGAGGCAGAGGTTGCAGTGAGCCAAGATCGCGCCACTGTACTCCAGCCTGGGCTACAAAGCAAGACTCCGTCTCAAAAAAAAATAAAATAAAATAAAAAAATGTCTGTCTCCTTCTTAAAACCCTCTTTCAAGTACCTTCTCTGAAGTGTGTCCAACCACCCTTTAATTCTTGCTGGTCACCAAACTTGCTAAGCACTCTCCTACCTCAGGACCTCTGTAGTTGCTGTACTCTCTGTCTATAAGGCTATTTCCCCAGATAGGCACTTGACCCTTATTTCACTCAGGTCTCTGTTGAAATGTCAGAGGGACCTCAGAGAAACCTTTCCTGACTGCTTTTCCATCTTCCTTATCATCTCGCTCTAATTTCTTAGCCTGCTTCTTTTTCTCTTTCTCTTACAGCATTTATCTCATTATAATTATATATGATATATTTGATTGTTTACTTATCCTTCTGTCCCACAAGAATGCAAGGCAAGAATGTATCCAGTTTACTTTGACTTATCCAGTTTGCTATTGACTCCAGTGCCTGGCATATAGTAGGCATTCTGTGAGCGCATGTTGAATTTCTGGTTTTGGCCTTGAGGTGTTTGTGTGTGTGTGTGTGTTTTTCTTAGAAACAGGATCTCACTTTGTTGCCCAGGCTGGAATGCAGTGACAGTCATAGCTCACTGCAGCCTCAAACTCCTGGGCTCAAACAGTCCTCCCGCCTTAGCCTCCTGAGTAGCTGGGACTACAGGTGCATACCACTGCACCCAGCTAATTTTTTAGACCTTTTTTTGTAGAGATGGGGTCTCCCTCTGTTGCCCAGGCTGGTCTTGAGCTCCTGGCTTTAAGTGATCCTCCTGCCTTGGCCTTCCAAAGTGCTAGGATTACTAGCATGGGCCACCGGGCCTTGCCTTGAGGTTTAGCTTTCCTCATTTTACTATTTTGTTTTTAGTTATTGGGTGAAACGTTTTATTAAATTAAAAAAAAACATTAACACTTAACAGCTCCTTGTATTTGAACCTCATTCTTTTCATATCAGCATATTATTGGCCAAGTCATTAACATAAGTGAGAATCTTAAACTCCCCACTGAGGACTTTTATTCATTGAATGAAAACCCAAAAAAAGCTCATATGCTAGATTTTTCACTGTCTGAAATTTTGTTGCCAGATCAGTGAAATACTCTTTTTTTCCCAGCTTTATTGAGGTCAGACTGACATAAAAATTGTATATATTTAAGTTGTAAAACAAATTGTTTTATTATAAGTATACCTTGTATAATGATTCCCATAATCCAGCTAATAACCTTATCTGTCACCTGACATAGTTACTATTTTGTGTGTGCCTGGTAAGAACACTTAAGATTTACTCCCCTAGCAAATTTCAAGTAAACAATACATAATACATTGTTATTAGCTATAGTTACCATGCTGTACGTCAGATCTCTAATAGGTAGTCATAACTGAAAATTTGTACCCTTTGACCAACATGTCCCCATTTCTCCCACTCCCCAGTGTCTGGCAACCACCATTCTCTCTTTTTTTTATTTCAACTATTTTAGATTCCACATAAAAGTGTTACCATGCACTACTCGTTTTCCTGTGTCTAGCTTAGTCCCCTTAGCAGAATATCTTCCAGGTTCATCCCTGTTGTCGCAAGTGGCAGGATTTCCTTCTTTTTTATGGCAGAATAGGATTCTTGTGTGTGTATATACTGTCATTTCTTTATCCATTCATCCATGGACACAGATTGTTTTCATATCTTGGCTATTATGAATAATGCAGTGAACATGGGTGTGCAGCTATTCCTTCAAGATAACGATTTCATTTCCTTCAGATATATAGCTGGAGTGGGATTACTGGATCATATGGTAGTTCTCTTTTTAATTTTTTGAGGAACCTCCATACTGTTTTCCATAGTGGCTGTAGCAATTTACATTCCCATAAACAGTTTACAAGGGTTTCCTTTTCCCCACGTCCTTGCCAACACCTATTATCTCTTGTCTTTTTGATAACAGCCAACCTAACAGGTGTAAGGTGCGATCTCATTGTGGTTTTTGATTCACATTTCCCTGATGGCTCAATAAAATAGCCTTACCATAAGCCATTTGCTGAGACAAGTGACTTTAGTCGGGCAGTCTCATAAGATTTAAGTCTGTACTTTTTGCAAACCATGTAATGGGCTTATTTAGAATTTTCAAGAAACATGAAATGTTGCCTCAGTGTACCTGCACTCTAGTTAGAGACAAATGAGTAAAAATTTAATAAACTCAGTTAACCTTGAAAAAGATATAACAAGAATTATATTGAAACATGTACTTACTGATACTAAATTGCTCTTGGCCTACAAAAACAACAATTTCATAGGGTTTAATATGTGGTGAATTGCTAAATAAATGGTAAATGATTGTAAGTGATTAAGACTATGAATTAAGAAGAGGAATGAGAAAACTTGATTGGTGTAGACAACTTATAAGATGTAAAGTAGACTTGATGTGGGTCTTAAAGGATATATAGGATTTGGACATTTTAAAAGAGAGTGAAGACTTCCTCTTCTGGACATCATAAAATATTAGGGACCAGATATTTCCTCTCACCTTAAACAACTAGAAAAGTAGACAGAACAATGGTTTTCAGACATTAGATAACAGGTAACATAAGACAGTGATCTCTGAAAGGAGAATGAATGAGGTCATCACTGTTAATGTCCAGTTTGCTGCCTGAAAAGAGTTTCTATACTATAGCATAGGGAGGGGGCACCAGAAAAGTAGGGCAGTCTCTTAGAGTTGGAGAAACGAAGTTTGTAGTTCAAGGAGGTCAAGGAAAGTAAAATTTGTGGGCTATGTGCAAGATCTGAACAGTGAAAACTACCAAACATTACTGAGATAAATTAAAGACCTAAATAAATAAATAGATATACTGTGTTTGTGAATTGGAAATCTCAGTATTGTTAAGGTATCACATCACAAATTGATCTATAGATTCAATACAATTCCTGTCAAAATCCAAGCAGGCTTTTGAGGGATAGAGATTAACAAGCTGATTGTAAAATGTATATGGATATGCAAAGGACCCAGGATAGTGGTCTCCAACCTCTGTGGTCCCAAGGACTGGTTTCGTGGAAGATAGTTTTTCCACGGATCGGGGTGGGGAGGGGAGGGATGGTTTTGGGATAATTCAAGCACATTACATTTATTGTATGCTTTATTTCTAGTATTACATTGTAATATATAATGAAATAAGTATACAGCTCACCATAATGTAGAATTGGGAGCCCCGAGCTTGTTTTCCTGCAACCAGATGGTCTCATGTAGGGGTGATGGGAGACAGTGGCAGATCATCAGGCATTAGATTCACATAAGGAGCACACAACCTAGATCCCTTGCATACTCAGTTCACAATAGGGTTTGCACTCCTATGAGAATCTCATGCCACCACTGATCTGACAGGAGGTGGAGCTGAGGCTGTAATGCAAGCGATGGGGAGTGACTGTAAATACAGATGAAGCTTTGCTTACTGGCCCTGCCACTCACCCCCTGCTGTGCAGCCCAGGGGTTGGGGACCCCTGACCTAGAATATCTGACACAATTTTTGAAAAAAGAAAAAGTTGGAGGACTTACATCTGCTGATTTAAAGACTGTAAAACTACATTAAGCAAGGAACTGTGGTGTTTGAATATAGACATATAAATCAATGGTATGTAATAGTCCAGAAATTGATTTATACATGTAAACTCAAAAGACTTTTTACAGAGGTGTTAAGGTAACTCAGTGGGAAAGGACAGACTTTTCAACAAATGGTCCAGGATGATTAGATACTTATATCCACAGCGTTGACCTTTATCCCTTTGCACCATACACAGAAGTAACTTGGAATGCATCACAGTCATTCATGGCTACTATGCAGAAATACAATTGATTTTTTTCTATTGACCTTATATAACTTCAAACTTGCTGAACTCACCTATTCTAGTAGCTTTTTATAGCTTTCTTAAAATTGTCAACATAGGCAACCAGGTTATCTGTAGAGTTTTACTTCTTCCTTTTTAATCTACATGCCCTTCATTTCCTTTTAATGCCTTATGGCACTGAAAAGGACCCTCCAGTACAATGCTGACTGAAAGTTGTGAGCCTAGACATCTTACCCTGTTCCTGATCTTAGATGGAAACCTGAATCTAAGAGCTGAAACTATAAAACTTACAGAAGAATATGCTGGAGAAAACCTTAATGACCTTGGGTAGGTAAGATTTTTTAGATAGGACATAGAAAATATGAACCAGAGAGGAAAGAAAGAGATAAATTAGACTTTGAATTGTAAATTCTGCTCTTTAAAAGATACTTTTTATGAAATGAAAAGGCAAGTTATACACTAAGAGAAAATATTGGTAAAACATGTATCTGACTCATGAGGTATAAATTTATAATCAGATTCAAAATATATAGAGAATTCTCATATACATGTATATATGTATATATACGTGTGTATATATAAAAAATATAGGCCGGGTATGGTGGTTCACACCTGTAATCCCAGCACTTTGGGTGGATCAGTTGAGCCTAGAAGTTTGAGAGCAGCCTGGTCAATATAGTGAGATCCCATCTCTACAGAAAAATAAAAAACTATCTGGGCATGGTGGCACACACCTGTAGTCCCAGCTACTTGGGAGGCCAAGGCAGGAGGATCACTTGAGCCCAGGAGGTGGAGGTTTCAGTGAGCCATGATTGCACCACTGTCATATATATAGGACACAGTGATCTCAGTGAAAAAATGGGCAAAAGATTTGAACAGACACTTCATTGAAGAAGATATACAAATGACTAATAAGTACATGAAAACCTTCTCAACATAATTAGTCATTATGGAAATGAAAATTAAACCACAAGATAACACTACCTCTGCAATGCAAAACTTAAGACTTGACATACTAACTTTGGGCAAAGATGTAGAGCAGTGAGAACTCTAATATATTAGCGGTTGGAATACAAAAATGGAAGACAGGGTGGCAGGTTTTTTTTTTTTTTTTTTTTTTAATAAGCATACCCTTTACCATATGAACCAGCAATTTTATTCCTGGGTTTTTGCCCAAGGGAAATGCAATCATGTGCACATGAAGACTTATGTGTAAATGTTTATAATAGGGTTATTTCTAGTAGCTATAAACTGAAGAGAGCCAGACCAGAACTGCAGAGAACAAATTGTGTTGTATCTTTACAATGGAACACCATTTAGCAATGAAAAGAAAGGAACTACTGATTTATGCTACAACATAGATGAATCTCAGAAGTATTTTGCCATGTAAAAGAAGGTAGATACTTGTGATTCTGTTTGTATGAAATTCTAGAAAAGGGAAAGCTGGCACCAATTATAAAGAGGCTTAAAGGAAATTTTACAGTGATGGAAATGGCTATGTCATGATTATTGTGCTTACACAAGTGTATACATTTGTCAAAACTTGTCAAACTGTACAGTTAAAATTGGTGAATTGCACTGGATGTAAATGATATGTCAATGAAGATGATCCCAAAAAATTAAAAACAACAAAAAAAGGAAGATTGGAAAGGGCATTTCAGCAGTGGTGAACGGTATGACCAAAAGCATAGAGAGAATAGAACAAGTAAACTAATTTCACAGAATAATGTGTTTTGGAAGATGAATTTTATCTTGTAGTTTTACCCATTACTATGGATTACTTCTACTGTTAGTTTGAATAATGAAATTAGTGAATCTTTGTAATGTGCCTAAAAAGAAGATAATTTTAAATAAAGATAAGTTAACAGTTCATTGCTCACTTTATCCCCCCTTTTCTTCTCCCCCTATCCTTTTCTTTTTTGCTTTAACAGAAGTCCATATAATGCTTGATGGCCTGTTACCTCCTGACACCTATTTTAGATTCAATCCTGTAATGTGTGAAAACATACCTCTAGATGAAAGTCGAAATGAAAAGCTGGATCAGCTGCAGTTGGAAGGGTTGAAATACATAGAGAGAAATGAACAAAAAATGAAAAAAGTTGCAAAAATATTAAGTCAAGAAAAAACAACTCTGCAGAAAATTAATGATTGGATAAAATTAAAAACTGATATGTATGAAGGCCTTCCATTCTTTTCAAAATTGTGATGAGTATATGCATATGGTCTCATAAATGAAGCCCTGTTCAGAAGATCCACCACATTCAATAAGGAATTGTGGGATTCGACATGAGTTAACTTTGAAATACTTATGAATTCTGGAGAATCCTGAAAAAGATGGTGCTTCGACCAGCTTGCACAGTACAGAGAATATTCTTGGTTACAGAATTCATATGGGAACTAGACTTTTAAGATGTTAATAATTAACTAAGCTTTAGTAACCTTACTGTGCTAGTTGGTTTTAGTAGATGTTGGTGTTATATTGTTTGATGTTTGAAAATTTATTAATATATGTGCCGAACAAGAAACCGAAAGCTATATTGTACTTTGTGTTTTTACTTTAGTCCTCATAATCATGTTAAATTTATGTGATCATTGATTTTATTTCATATGGAAAAGCTAATTTCTTCTTAAATTTACGTTACCTAATCTCACTAGCTATGTTCTCCAATCCACACTGCCTTTATTGTAATATCGTCTAAATAGATGCAGAAAATGGAATTTTCTCTATTAAAGTATTTTACATTTGAAATATGAAAGAACCAGATACAGTTTTCTATTCAAATATGTTTATTTTAACATTGGTTAAAAAAGGTGAAGTTCCTGTCAACCACTTTTTAATCCCTAAAATTTCAAGATAATGCTGTATTAACTTTTCCAGATCTAACACTAGCTTATTCTTCCCTGTTATAAAATGGTTTGAACTTACTGAGAAAATATTCCTATCATTAACAAAAATAAACCATTTAATTAATCTGTTAAAAGGCTAATGTCATTTTAAAATTAATTTTTGTTCATAATGTAGCTCCCCTTTAGCCTTTGAATACACCTGGCAGCAGTATGCTTTAAAATTACAAGTTAGGGCATGACATGGTAGCTCACACCTGTAATCCCAGCACTTTGGGAGGCCGAGGCAGGCAGATCACCTGACGTCAGGAGTCCAAGACCAGCCTAGCCAACACGGTGAAACCCCGTCTCTAATAAAAATACAAATATTAGCCAGACATGGTGGCACACGACTATAGTCCCAGCTACTCGGGAGGCTAAGGCAGGAGAATGGCTTGAACCTGAGAGACGGAGGTTGCAGTGAGCCGAGATAGTGCCAGTGCACTCCAGCCTGGGCAACAGAGCAAGACTCCGTCTCAAAAAAAAAAAAAGAAGTTACCTTTCTTTTAACTCCTTTGAACTGTCTGGATTTCACAGAAGTTGGTAAGATGCACTTACATGGAACATTGTTTATGCCAAACAAATTCATCTTTGTTGTATCTATTTGTCACATAAATCCTTACATGGAATATTTAGATTTCTCAAGAAAAATGAAACAAAGGTAAGTGCCGCTTGTTTTAGACATATAAACTAAAGCTAGACCCGGTTGCCCAGATAGTCATACTGCTTCTTTGCAATGTCAGTTCACAGAGGCTGTGAGATGTGTTTCAAGGAGTGGAGTTGAGAGTCTGGATGCTAATCCTGTTTTTGCTGCAAGAACCCTTCTGTTTGTGACCTTGAGGAAGACAAATGTCTGTAGACTTTGCGTATCCCATTTGTAAAATGAGGAAAGCTAGCTGTAAAATTTTCTAACATCTGAGTTATATCAACTTTAGATATAGTATAAAATAGGAAACTACCAATGATTTCTAAAGATAATATAAAATAGTCCTTTCAGACCACAAATATTACATAATAACATGCAGCTAAGAACTTGTAAATGCAAGAAAAATACAAATAATTGGGAATCAGAATATTTCTGGGAATTCTTCGTAATAAAGCAAATTTCAAGCACGATAAAGTAATATTTATGCATATTTACATGTTTGCACCTCATCATGAGGTCAGTCTAGTCTTAAACTGATATAGTTCATCTGTCTTAAAGCTGAAGTTAACTATTTCCCTTATTTGTGCTTGACTTATTTCTTTCTTAAATAATGCATTACACAAGTGAACTCTGGCCATGGCTTCTTTTTTTTTTTTTTTTTTTTTTCTTTTTTTTAAGTTTCCCATGTATACAACTCAGTCCTTTTTGTACTGACACCTAATATAAGCCATGTAGCATGGCGCCTACATACGCGCCGTGCCATCCCTATTTCTTTAGCTCTTTTCACTCTCGAACAAAAGGCAAACCCAGATGTGTGGTGCACCAGTTTTCAGCCGTTTTTGTCCTCATTTGTATTTGAAACTGGTTATCTGAAGAACTGTAATTCACCTGAGATAACCCTCATTTTATAACAAGGCCAGTGCTTGCTTTATCCAAAGGAACCCAAAAAGTAAATTCTGCAAATAATACAGAACAGCAATAGGAAGAGATGTGAAAAAGAATTTTCAGTCTTATACAGGTAAAATATTTGCCCTTTTCAAAAAGGCAAAGAGGAAGAATGGTCTATTTTATAAATATAAAAAATTCCTCAACTCATGTCTTCAAAATATAGAATAAAAATTGTTTTAATGCTCAGGTTTTCCTGAGTGTCTCAGAAGTCTTATTTCTATAGTAAATGGTGTACTGGTAATATTTCAGTTCCATTCTTGTTGCAGATACTATTCTTTATTAAAAGTAGTACTTCACAGCCAGGGACAGTGGCTCAACCTGTAATCCCAGCACTTTTGGAGGCACAGGCAGGCGGATCACTTGAGATCAGGAGTTCGAGACCAGCCTGACCAAGATGGTGAAATCTCTACTAAAAATACAAAAATTAGGCCGGGCACGGTGGCTCACGCCGGTAATCCCAGCACTTTGGGAGGCTGAGGTGGGTGGATCACCTGAGGTAAGGAGTTTGAGACCAGCCTGACCAACATGGTGAAACTCCGTCTCTACTAAAAATACAAAAAAATCAGCTGGGTGTGGTGGTGGGTGCCTATAATCCCAGTTACTCAGGATGCTGAGGCAGGAGAATCGCTTGAACCTGGGAGGCAGAGATTGCAAGTGAGCTGAGATCACGCTATTGCACTGCAGCCTGGGCAAAAAGAGTGAAACTGTCTCCAAAAAAAAAAAAAAAAAAAAAAGGGCATGCTCCTGTAATCCCAGCTACTCGGGAGACTGATGCAGGATAATTGCTTGAACCCGGGAGGCGGAGGTTGCAGTGATCCGAGATCGCACCACGCACCACTGCACTCCAGCCTGGGCGACAGAGTGGGACACAGTCTCAAAAAAAAAAAAAAAAAAAAAAACTTCAGATACAGTTGTCCCTAGAGGCATTTGGGCTAGATGGGATTTCCCCTAGAGGGTGGAGAGAGCTGGGCCTGGGTTATAATTACACTATGCACTACTTCCTCCTAAGCCACATTTTTTTTTTTTTTTGAGATGGAGTTTTGCTCTTCTTGCCCAGGCTGGAGTGCAATGGCACGATCTCGGCTCATTGAAACTTTCACCTCCCGGGTTCAAGCGATACTCCTGCCTCAGCCTTCCGAGTAGCTGGGATTCCGAGTACCTAGGGCCACCACGCCTGGCTAATTTTTTTGTATTTTTAATAGAAACGGGGTTTCTCCATGTTGGTGAGGCTAGTCTCGAACTCCCGATCTCAGGTGATCTGCCTGCCTCACCCTCCCAAAGTGCTGTGATTGCAGTCATGAGCCACTGAGCCGGGCCTGAAAGGAATCTTTTGAGGGGAAAGGGAGTCACAAAAGTATGCAGTCTGAGGGCATGAAGGGGAATCTTACAACTTTGTTTTGGTGGTAGAAGGGAGGGGCTCCCTTTGAGCTTTTTTTCCCCCAGCAACTAGTAACAGCTGAGCTGCTGATTACCGGGGTAGCTAGGATCTCTGAAGTTTGAAGTTCAGAATTGTACATAACCCGCTATGCCCTAGAAATGGTCCTAGTCACACTTTTGAATATTTCACAAGCGTCCGTGCCAGTAATGTGACTAGAACATAGATAACATTTGAGTGCTTGCTGAGTACCAGGAACTGAGCTCAGCAGGTTACATTAAATTGTCACAATAAGCCTACAAGGTGAATAGCAGTATTATCCCTTCGTTAGAAAAAGTTGCCCAAGATAATTACAGCTAGAGAGCGATAGAGCTAGGACCAGTCCATTGTCTTAGCCAGAACTCTTCCTATCTCTCTTTCCTGGAATGTCCTTTGCTGGAATGTTGTGAAGTGACTTCAAATCCAGTTTACTAAACTGAATCTGTGAAATTTGGGGTTTAATCAGTGAAGAAATGTACTTGTCTTAGTAAATGTCCTCTCAGTCTTCGTAACTTCAGAGGGTTTTTTTTTTTTTTTTGGAAAAAAATTATTATAACATCAAATTATGTGAATACTCCTCTTTATCTCTTCATTTAATAACACAGTGGTCTTACCCACCTCCTGGAAAGTTTGCAAATCTGGGAGTGGGGAGAAGGGAGATTGTCTGGGGGAATCACCAGCATTTAGTACTCCAGGAGACAGATAATAAATAAATGGGATACACTGGGCATTGGACAGCCCCTCGTAATGAATAATTCTTCCACCCAAAATACCAACATTTCTCCCTTTTAGAAACTCTGAGCTACTCATCCATAAAATGCAAGTAATGAATTTCTTCCATGAGAAATTGAAGGTATACTTTGCCCAGTTAGGGTGCATAAACCATTTGTAAAATTCCATTCCAGATCAATCCCAACTGAATTATTTTTGCATTCATTGCTCCTTCTTTTCCTTTTTTTTTTCGCCAAGTTTAAATACAATCAAACTGTTCACTTAATCTCACTTTTTTGGAACAAATCTATGGCAATTACTCTTCCCTGACTAGGAAATAGGAAGGAAGGGATCACATTTAAAAAAACAGTTTGTTCTGTTCCTGGCAGGAGCTATCTACCATCCAAAAAAGATTCATAGAGTACAGATGTCCCTGGGCTAAACTGTTGGCTGTGTTGGTCCAAGGGTTTGATCAATGTCTCTCTCAGAAGTCACACTGATTGCTTTGTTTATTATAACCTTTATTCAGCTTGATGCGAGTGGATTGAAATTCATTACACTTCACAGATATGCATTATTAGCTTGGATAATTATTTTGATAAAATAAAGTGTTGACTGTAACGTTGACTTATCTTCATGATAAAAATCTTTATCATTCTTAATATAGATTCATTCCTTGCCTCTGAACAATATAAATTTTGAGATGGTATTTTAAGGACTTCGGTCTGATTGAATAGCAACAGGTTATATGGTCCAAAATGGTTGAATGTTCCAGTAATAGTTGTAGCTAACATTTATTGCCATTTATCTTCACAACAACCTTACGAGGCAGGCACCATCATTATTCCTATTTTATATAGTAGCACTGAGATGATAGCGAGAAAAGTCATATTTCTCGACTGCTTCCTCAATATCAATGGAAAATCATAAACCATATCATTAACATGTCTATATAGCAATCTTTCAAAAATTTTCTAGAATTACAAATACTTTAATATCCTTTCAGATATTGTAATGTAATCTACATCACATTTAAATAATTTATGTGTACTACTTAGGCAATTTTCAAAGATCAAACCAAGATAATGTACCCATCTAATAGAATATAAAATAGTTAACAAGTGCTACTTGGTAGTGCTCTTTTTTTTTTAACTTTTAGGTGTGGGGGTACATTTGAAGGCTTTGTTACATAGCTAAACTCATGTCAGTTGGGTTTCTTGTACAGATTATTTCATCACCCTGGTATTAAGGCCAGTACCCAATAATTTATCTTTTCTCTTCCTCTCCCTCCTCCCACCCTTCCCCATCAAGTAGACTCTAAGTGTCTGTTGTTTCCTTCTTTGTGTTCATAAGTTCTCATCATTTAGCTCCCACTTATAAGTGATAATGTGGTTTTCTGTTCCTGCATTAGCTTGCTAAGGATAATAGTCTCCAGCTCCATCCATGTTCCCACAAAAGACATGATCTCGTTCTCTTTTAGGCTGCATAGTATTCCATGGTGTGTATGTACCACATTTTTATTTATCCAGTCTGTCATTGGTAGGCATTTAGGTTGATTCCATGTCTTTGCTCCTGTGAGTAGGGTGGCACTCTTTCTTATAGCAGACACTACTACTGACTATGTTTGTAAAAGATAAAGTGATTAACAACAATCCAAAATTCTGTCCAATTATCTGAGAAGAAAAGAAGGTTATATCATCTTATATTGCACAGTATGCCCAACATGCCTTGGTCTAGAAAAGTATTTAAAGTAGTATTTTAATTAAGTTGGCTATCAAAGTAATTTTAAAAGAACGTGAATGCAATTAAAAATAGTCCATACCTTGACCAAGCAACATAATACTAAAAAGGAAAAAAAGAAGCCACCAAACGTCTTGTGGCAAGTTCTGTGTCGTCTATATGAATACACATTCACCTGTAGGAATCTTGAAAAAGCAAGTGTCTTTCATTCTGTTTTGTACATTTGGATCACATTTTGAAAATGTTGTAGGAGGACAGTCATTGTGCTTTTGTATTTATGGTAATTATGAACACCCTAGGGAATTCTTAATCAAAAGTTTTTCAAATTGAAAAAGGTCAGTGTAATTTATACCACACTCTGCCTTTCAGATTTGGTCTTGAGAACACAAGTTTTTGAAAATAATGCCAGTAGAATTGAGAGTTATTTAAAACTACAATTTTTTTTTTCTATTTTTTAATCATTGAAACCCCAGTCTTGTAAATCGCAGGTGCTGTTATTTTGCTAGTTTTGAATGAACACGTTTGGTATCAGGATGCAGTTAATCCATACACATCTAAACATGCCCTTATGCTTCCATTTCCTATGTTGAATTATGTGAAAAAAAATGCCCAAAGCTGACACTCAAAAACTGTAGAAGTGGTAGAACTTTAGACGATGTTAGTATATAATGCAAATATCTGGTTTTTATATGCATATAGAGTGTTACAAGAATATACATACTTCAAAGGTCTTGATGAAGTTTAGATAGTATAGAATTTTGTAATATAGTTTTTTACCATTCTCATTTTTTGAGCATGGGAAAGTAGCTATGTCC